AGAGACTAAGCACATGAGCTATCATAGAGGAATGATAAATATTATAATACCTCAAGCCAAGGTATAAATCAAGAAAGGATTCATTTCTACCGTACTGATTGAGTTAGCAAGCCTATCTAGCCGTCAACAGCAATCGAAGTCAACAAAATTCCATTAATTGTAATTACTGACGTAAGCAACATACGTAACTTTTATGAAACCCCTGCTATCATTTCTTGTGAGAGTATGCATACTACTAACTAGTAAATTAAAGTTCGGTATATATACATATATATATATAATGCCGAACGTATGATACAGATAGTAAATGTTGCATTTTTTATAGATTTCTCTCTCTCTCTCTCTATATATATATGTAATATAGGGAAGGACTTCTTGATCAAAAATGATCTTCAAAAATTATAAATATATTGGTCGAATTTATTTTTTTATCGAGAAGTCACTGATAGACACGTAGCATGTGAATGGTTCTCCCTTTACTATAGCAATTGCAGACTTTTGAATATGTTTGCATATTAAATGCTAAGACTGCAAATCTTTCTACCTTATTGTTTAAGTATCTAAATATGAAATTTAGCATTGTGTAAATCTAAGTTTTAATTTTCAATTAAAATTATTTCTTAATATGTAACTGAAATGTACTGGATGTAAAGTAATAAGAATTTTCGTCTAGATTAGATTGACCATAATTACGAAAAACATTTAGAAAAAATTCCTTACACATTAGGGTCTAATTTTAGTAATTGTAGAGTAGAACCTACGAGAATACATTACAATGCTCTAATTACTAATATCGCAATAATGATGGTAGGAAGTAAAGAATTATAAATAAATAAATAAGTAAAGTTTATTTTGCCACATTAATAAATAAAACTAGACTGTGGATTACTTTGAATGCATTGGACGTACCAAAATCAGTAATACGAAGGTATATGAGATAATTAGTAATTATAATAAATTATTCATTTTAGTATTACTTAAACTATCCGGATAATTCATTCAAAACAAAATCCAAACTTTTTTTTCGCAGCTCGGTTTCAATAATAAAATTTTAAGAGAAAAATTAACCATAGTAAAATATACATAACTGACTACATATCACTTAAATTCTTAGATATAATTATTAGCTTATACGATCATTTTTAAATTAAGCAGGTTTTAAGAGACGCTAAAAGATGAGCAATACGCAATATTCGACGAGTACCTAGTCTTAATGTTGTTAGAATTTATCTTGCTATGAATATGTTAACTGCATTTATAACACTTCCGTTAGCACCAAGTAACTTACACTATGATAAGAGTAAGTTGAAACTCATTATTATATCGCATAGCAATTTAGCAGGGATTTTTAGCGTTGCTTAGTGAATCAATGCTAGAATAATTTACCATGAAAGTTGGGCTGTATCATTCGACAGACTTACAAGCAAATTTCAGAATTGAATTAGTATAATACTTATACGTCATAAATGCGATTTAATAATGAGCTGGTAAGATTTCGATCATTTTCTCCATTATTTAATTACTTTCTAGCAAAAAATTTAATTTCCGTAAACAATAAATCGAATGCATAGCTATAGTCAGTCACTTCACGTATTCTACATACGAATTCTAGCCAATATATTAAGGTTTCTAAGCAGAGCTAAGAATTCTAAGTGCTATCGATTAATTTTAGGAGACAAATTTTCATATCTGATTTGAACTGTATTTTACATAAGGCAGTCTGTAATATGTATAGAGATCTAAATAATACTATCTATTTAAAATCAGAAAATTTCAACATTTGGCGAAAAGATTCTATCTGATACTCAGAATAAAGGTAAATGGTAAATTTTATTAAGAAAATATTGTCAATATCATAATAACATTAATTGCATAGCACTTAATAACAACTAATAGATTTAAAATTACAAGCGTATTTGATTAGAAATGTTCTCATACAAGCTTAAATTGAAGTTATAGATTAGTACAATATATTATAATGTAGAGAATCAGGTACTAAATGTTATAAAAGTTTAATTGTTTTTAATTTGTAGCCATCATTACAAGCTATAGTTACCAATAACTATGCCACAAAGAGTATCTTGAACTGCCATCCAGACCCACGCGGGCCCTTAGTATATCCTTGGAAATCTGTAGTAAATCTATCGCCTGTTTTGGAAGCGATATTATCTGTTCCTCCTTACTGAACTTTCACAATTATCTTATGCTAACCTATTTTCGCTTTATACTTTGAAGTCTGCGAGTATTGAGGTAGATGATTCTAACTCATAGAAATATCATTCGATACTTGTAGAGAATTGTCACTCTAGGAGATTGATTAGTACCAGTAGCTTGGTGTTACGAAACTGCTTTCTTGATCTGACCTAAATTAGTCTATCTAATCTATTTAACCTCTATTAACTTCGGGATTTTCTCAATTAGAAAATTTTCTTATTGCAACACCTGAGAATAGAGTTCAACAATAAGGATTAAAGTTAGTTGAATTTTATTTAGTACTAGTTATAATGTGCATTAATACCAGTGTACTCGATGTTAGCATCAGTGGAATTGAAATTAAAAAATTAATAATTAAGCTTATATATAGTTTAATCCTAAGTCACATAAACGCTCCGGTACTAGTCTCTCATATTAAATTAAGTAATATTCTATAACGAAGCTCTGTTTTCATTTTTGAAAATTTAGGCAAAATAAAATGTCTATATTGAATAATTTAAAAACAGGACTGTAAAAATTTTAGATAGAAGAAATACCCCTAGATTATTGATTTCGTAGATATAAATAGAATTTTATGTAGATACATTGTAACTTTAACAGTATGAGCCCTGCCATCACTAACAGATTGTGGTGCTGTCAACAACGCCTCCCCGTATCTAAATTAAACCTATTGATTATTTGTTAGAATTAATATATATAGTATTTTATATTGATTAGCGTCTTAAGTAGAAATCTGACCAATAAGTACAAGTACAGTATTTATAATTTTGGTATTTAATATCATTGGATTGAATAATATGTCCTACCATAGCTCGACTCGGCCAGAATTGACAGTAACATAAATGTAATGGGTCGTAGAAGTTACTATCTTAAACACAGAAAACACAAATTAAACTTCGTTTCTATATTATTTTATGATATACAATTAATAGTATAACTATAATTACGCATACATTGCCTTGCCAATAAAGTAGTCCGCTAGACTGATTGGTTGCAAATGTAAACTGTATATCTTGCTGCCTGTATATTATAGTCACAGTAATCAACGTAGCGCAATTAAATTTGTACAAAAGTTCTTAATTATTAAGTAGTAATAACGCAATAAAATCTAGTACTATCACTTACTCTTTTAATGCATTGATATAATAACGTAAGTAACTATTTCCATTGAAAGATGCTCCATCAGACGAACTAAACGATAAGGCTAATAAAGTAGAGGGTTAGTCAATAAGATTATAAACACACTGATCGTGCAATAAATAAAATAAAGTAGATGTACTAATATCTATAATAGGCTAGTTAATTACTATACCTGTATCATAAGTAACTATTTTCATTAAAAGATGCTCCATCAGGCAAACTAAACGATAGCACTAGCAAAGTAGAGGGTTATTTAATGGAATTATAAACATACGAAGCAAAAATTGTATCATTTCTGCACGGTGCACTGTGATATGGATCTGATGGTGATGTATAATTTCTTTCGCAAAGCATTCCAAAATTACTAGATTGGCAGTTACAAATACAATAGTTTCTATCAGCTACCATAAGCAAGCATCGGTATTTTGGAAACTATTCTGATCATAAGAATTATCGTAGGCTAATTATTCGCGGTTTCTAAGACGCCACTTACCAAATTATGGGTGGAATTGTCTAATTCACTGTCAAATCTAGAGATACATCCTAAAAACGGAATTGAACCTCGAAGATTGAATTTTGATCAAATTGATTGATGATTCCTAGAAACTTCCAATGTGGCAAATCAGTAATTATTCTGCTTTCTGATTGTCTAGTATGCTTTTGCACAAAATTACGTTAGAGTACTTAGCTTCCTTACTTTCTATGGTAAAACATATGAACATTCCAAAGGAGAGTATAAAAGCGAACTAAAATTACGGTGTGGGAGAGAGGGAATAAATGATACTATGCAAACCTTGACTACCTAAACGGATCTTACACTAACGAGTGACCAAAGTGCTCAATGGAAACTGTCTGTTTTTCATATCAGTAGCTATGCTACGGTCAATCCCGGGAATGACCGGCAATTAGCTACTAAGCTAATACTACCACAGTACTATGATAAACGTAAATAAACTAATTTTCATCAACAGTATCTAGAGATGAAACTAACTTGTATAATATATATTCGCAATCACTTAAACAAAGATGACTATCCTCGATAATTACATAACAGGGAGGAGCATTGACGGCGAAAACTGCCAAGTAAATTAGTACATTGTTCTTGACAATCCCCATTCGAAATAATAAATCTAGTTAATAACAGATATTTTTCGCTAATGGTTGATTACCTTGTACGTAATTAATTCCAGCGAACTCATTTCTCACTATGCACTTGTAACTACCTAGGGTATTTACTTTTTTACCATACTGATAGGGATTCTAGGGGTATTCGTTAATTTCTAATGAATGGAAATTATAACGTACAGCAGCATTAAGGTCATTGCGGTAGTAAATATTGATCCAATGTAATGCCACTTGTTAGAAAATTGATGACCGTGGTCACAGTAAACGCCCGTATATCAAGTTCTGCATCAATATTTAGAATCATTATGAGATTGAGTGCATGTCCTTTTTACGTAAGGATTGGAATGACAGTTATCTGATTTAATATTGAATTGTTGTAAAAATAGATTAATGGTTACTTTCCCATTTTGAGATTATAAAGCTTTGTTGATTTGAACAATTTATAAGCCAAAGTAATCACAAGTAAAACTTAGCTCTTAAAAAAAAAGTTTGTTTGATCTACGAGATCTTTCTGAGCAAAGTTTATCTGTGATTGAAATTACGATAAAATAAATTGAAAAATAACTGTATCTTGTCGAATAATGACGCTGATTGCAAACTGGTAGTGGATGAAGTAGATAGATGAGATAACAGTCATAATTTTTGACAGTGGTGGTTTGATTTCAATGAAAAGGATTGCGGCCCCATGAAAAGCATACTTTGCCGACGACAATATTTTCTTAAACTGATAGCAAGGTAAAGACATCGACGATTTTGAAGTATCTAAAAAGGGTAACAAAAGGAGGAAGCTTCTTCAAACAACAATATTGATAGGCCGATGCCTAATAATATTGTATTTAGGCTCTTGTATTGCATAATGCAGAGAAATCTTTCTAAATAACTTGACGCCATTGCTCGTCATTAATTCACAATTTTAACTTACAGGATTGCAGTCTTCAAATTAATAAAATATTCGAAGAATATAGTAATAAATTACGACAGTATAAATAAAAGTATTTATAGTACTTGTTGGATAATTTTCCGTCAGTTATTCTGGTGAGACTGTAACGCATCTAATCATGCTTAACCTTCCTCCGAATATCATCTGGCTATTGTAGCTACCATCTAAACGATACCAAGAATTATTTAAATATAATCGATCACGAGTAATATCTAAAAATTACTCAACTCAATATATTGATCTTATAGTATCAGTTAGCAAGATACGATTATGACATGGATCAGTTCATATTAACTAAGCAATCCGATAATGATGTTAAAGTGAAGACGTATTACTAGCCTAAGAAATTTATTTTTCAAACTGCAAATTTTGCATGTTTTTTAAACTTAAACAGGAAGTATTGTCTGCTTTTAAAATTTTACCAGCTGGACACCGGCAGTAGTAACTACCAATTGTGCTGGTACAATTTCCTTGACACAGCTGATTCTGGCATTCATCAATATCTATCATTAACGACGCAAATCGATACATAAAGAAGGATGAAAATGGTCGAATTCGATCTATTTCTAAATATCAAAAGTTTAATTATAATAGTAAATAAAGCAACCGACTATTTTGGTATTGCTTTCCATTAAAACTGAGATCGCATTGGCATTGGTATTGAAGTCTAATAATAATACATTTTCCATGATTGCAAGGGCCAGGTTCGCATGGATGAAAAGCTAGTATGTAAAGTGAAAAAGTTGTAGACGGCTATACGCTGGATAGTGATTAGTATCGAGCTGACCACTGTTGAAAGAACACTGTACCTTTTTCTCAGTGTTCTTCGATGTCACCTACAGGATATAAACATGTATAGCCTGATTTTTCTGAAGTACAATTACCGTAATTAAGGCAAGGATTTAGATTACAACAATCAATAAAGAGTTAAGAAAGGCACAATATTTATGAAATTAGAAGCAGGCGATTCGATTTGCCGTTTCCAAGGCTTTAACATCATATCAAATGAACATATTCGGTTTATTTGGCCAAGTAGGAGCAGAATTGAATTTTGAAACTTAGCGGATAGGCAATTGTTACAGTGTTAAATACTGTATTAGAGTTGAAATATCTATGTTAGGATAATTCTGCTAGACTATCCTTACTTAGTTAACTTCTAATTTGGATATACTGTGTTTTAATATAGCACTGACTTTTTATGACAGTGACACTTATACACATACTGAAATTAATAGTTATAATAGGGATGCAAATCATCTACTTACAGTTCGAATCATTGTGATTGTAATTTACTTATGCTAGATTGTAAATTATCATGGAAATGTTCCGTGGTAGGACATATCGTAATCTGACTATTCTGTATTAGTCATTACATGCCTATGTTCGTAAATACTGTTGTCTGCATTAAGGGAGCAGTAGCTATAATTAATATCTAATTCAGTAAATGATTCCGAGGTTAATTGTATTAACTATGACTCATGAACTATTGAGGAACAGTATATAAATGCAGTATATCGTGAAATAAAGAGAATTCTGAAACTTAGTGTTTAACGTAAAATACGAGACGTTCAAGTCTTTGTGTAGTCTGCTAGTAGAGCAAAAGCGTTTCAGATAGTGCAGATATCGTTCCTTGATACGTGGTTCAAGGAATTGACTTATTGATTGTACATTACGTTATCTTGTTGCAAAGCTGTTTTGTGACAGTAATAAAGTTTTTATGTTAAATACTCAAATATACTGATTAGTAATTGAAGAAAGAATGGGAAAAGTTTGAATAACCTTGTGGATAACTACCGCGCATCTAACCTGAAGAAATCGTTTGGCAATCACAAACTGTTCCACGACAAGTCATTTGCAAGATATAATTATTAATTATTGGTGATTCCATCGAACAGTACCAAATATTAGTTAGATCTTCATCACATCGTAATCTCGATCCTTGATTGATGCTCTTAAAAGTGATCTACTTGTCTAATTTAACTAGTGATATTGCCAACATGGGTTTAGTATTTTGAAGGTGTAGCAAATTATAATATATATGTGATACTGTCACACACCACTAGTGACAAAGTAGTCTACACACGCCAATCCTTGCGGAGAACACCACCTACTAACTTAAAGAGGCGAGATTAGCTATATCACCAAATAATTCAGTTCCAACGACCGAATACTTTGGAATAATTATAGCGTCACAGATGATGTAGACGAGATAGTAAGAGATTTACTATCATTTATTACTGAAGGAATCTTGCCACCCAAGATTATAGTCTTAGAATTAAATATCAATTGATAAACTAGTAGACTATCTAACCGACTAACTAACTAAAAAGGGATCTTCAGGCACCAACCTTTTATAGTCTCGTCAGAAACTCCTGGTGCACATAAAATAAAGCTATCCTTTTAAAGTCATAGGAATTATTATGAATATTGTCATTAAAGACTTCATATAAGATAATTAATTAACAACTTCTATTGTTAAGAACTGATAATTAATTAATAAATTAATAAAGAGCTTAACTAGTAAACAGTGCATTATCATATTAATCAAAGATTAAACAGATTATATGAAGAAATGATAATTAATAAAACGTCAATCCACACAAAAAATATTTAATATTACTCAATAATTAGGACGAGCTTACGCATCGTAACAGACACAGGTAGGAATTTTCCCAGTTTACGGTCCTTTCTGTATCCGATACGTTAGTCCATTAACAAACTAAGATTAGTGAATACGAAATATATTACACGTATTCAACGAATAAATTAGTCAATTTGCAAGACTGTGCTTGGTACGAAATAAACTATTTAAGCAGTAACAAGAAGAGTCTTGAAGCAAGAGGTTTCAAGAATTGATACTAGTAATTTCCCACCTGAAAGTACGGTGGGAACGTCCGACAAGATAATCTATGTCGTCGAATCGTCTAAAACGAAAATATTGTAAAGCAGCATCGATAGAGATCTAAATTTTAAATATTAAAATAACAGATGGTAGAAAATTTACAAAAAATGAAAGGGTTACTAGAAAACCTTGCCCACACGACCTAAATTCTAGATTCTGCGTCTTTGCACTCATTACGCCGAAGGTATACAAGAGCGTCTACAAACTTACCTAAATAAATGTCTAATTTGTAAATGAACAAATTAAGCTGTCAAAGTTGCGTATAATCTGTTTGGATTAAAAATTCAGTGCAAGTAATTCATACAAGCGTTGCTCGTTCTTGGCGTCTATATTGTTATTCTTTTCCCTTACTACTATTACAGTATACTTCAGGAGATCATTCAAAATTGCTTCAATTAATACCCAAGACATTCTGTCTCGATTTTATGACATGATGCCGCCTTTTTTATGGATAAGAATGCATTTTAATAAAAGTATAATTCTGGTAGTTAGGCGTGTTTTTTTGTTGAACTGTAATATATACGTATGAGTATGTTGCAGCCATAATATAATATTCAATTTAGCATTGTCAATAATAGCTTTACTTCATTTTGTAGTAAGAGAAGAGAATATTATATCGTAATCAAGTGACGGTGAGAAATTTTTTATGCACAGTCTGGCTTATTCGTCATTTTAGCCAATTAATTTGAATGCGAGACAGATTGGATGATGGAGAAGCCAAAACTGGATTGAATGCAATGAAAAATAGACTAAATGATGAAAATTCTAAAAAAATTCAACTGTAGTAAATATAACTACCAACTACATATTCCTTAAGTTCTTGGATGGAATCTTAAGCTGCCTAAGCTTTTTCAGATTTAAAAAATTTGCTTTTTGTAACGATAAACAACATGCAGTACTTTATGATAAGAGTATCGCAAAATTTATTAGCTTATTATACAGCAATTTAGCAAAGACTTTTAGTGTTCCTTAATTTATCAAGGTCTGTCACAACCGAGATTGTAACACAAGAATTAAACGGGATTCTTTCCTCTAAAGTAGACTTAACTATCTAAGCAACTAACTCTAAGCACTCTTTAATCAACCAAACTTAGATTCGAGTCTTAGACGATAGATTACTCACGTTTCTATGACATTTAATATTAGTTAATTAGTAGCTAGGTGTCAACATATGATTCATCACACAACAAAATTATAATATTGATGATGCATTAATTAATGAATGTCACAAGGTCACAATACTTTACTCTGAAATTTGTGTTCTGTATCGTTGGGTAACCTTCCATACAAATTGCAGAACTAAATTAGTATAATGCTGATGCATCATTGATACGATTCAATAATGAGCTTGAGAAATATTTGTAAATTTCAGCTATCGTGATAGCTCCTTTCCCGTAAAAATTAAAATTAAGAGTTTCATAAACAATAAATAGTTTACATAGCTATAGCTAGCTATTTCACCTATTTTAATACGGAAGCTAGCTATTATATTAAGGCTTCTAGCAGAACTAAAAGTCTTAAGTGCTATCAATTAATTTTAGGTGACAAGTTTTATATCTGCTATGAACTGTGTCTTGCATAATGCGGTCGGCAATTAGTAATAAATGAACGGTAGCTAAAGTGCTATATTAATATAGGGTCTTTGTAGAAATTGCGACAGCAGATATCCATATAATTCTAAATAATATTGCCTATTTTACCTTATAAAATTGTAATATTTTGTGAAAGGCACTCTATCTGATATTAAAAATAAAGTAAATAGTAAATTTTATTTCTGAAATATCGTTGGAGATTATATCATTGATTGTATAACAATTTACTAACAATTAATAGATTTAAAATTACTAGCTTATTTTATTAAAAATGTTTCCATGCAGACTTAAATTAAAGTTTTAGATTAGTAAAACAAAATGTAACGTAGAAAATCAATTACTTAATGTCATAAATTTTTAACTGTTATTGATTTATAGAGATCACTACAAGCTACATTTTCCTACAGAAACGCCACGAACGGCATCATCAACTGTAAATTGCAATCCAGACATACGCAAGTTTGTAATACATCCTTGGAAACCTGTCGTAAATCTGTTTCCTGTTTTGGTAGCGATATTATCTGCTCCTCCTAAATAGAAGTTTGCAATTAGCTCATGTTAAGCTCTCATCACTTTAAACATTCAAGCCTGTCACGGTAGATGATACTAACCCATAAAAATATCGTTCGATACTTGTAGAGTTCTGCCACTTCCAGGAGATTGATTAGTACCAGTAGCTTGGCTACCATCAACCCATAAGGAACCATTGTTGGCATTTCTGAAACATGGATAAAAAATAAATGTCTATACTAAATAGTTATAATTTAAATACAGGATTGTAAAATTTTAGATAGGAGAAATACCCCTAGGTTATTGATTTCGTAGATATAAATAGAATTTTATGTAGATACCTTGTAACTTTAACAGTATGAGCCCTGCCATCACTAACAGCTTGTGACGCTGTCAACAACGCCTCCCCCGTACCTAAATTAAACCTATTGATTGTTTGTCAGAATTAATATATATATAATATTTTATATTGATTAGAGTCTTAAGTAGAAATCTGACCAATAAGTACAAGTACAGTATTTATAATTTTGGCATTTAAAATCATTGGATTGAATAATATGTCCTACCATAGCTCGACTCGGCCAGAATTGACAGTAACATAAATGTAATGGGTCGTAGAAGTTACCATCTTAAACACAGAAAACACAAATTAAACTTCGTTTCTATATTATTTTATGATATACAATTAATAGTATAACTATAATTACGCATACATTGCCTTGCCAATAAAGTAGTCCGCTAGACTGATTGGTTGCAAATGTAAACTGTATATCTTGCTGCCTGTATATTATGATCAAGTAATCAACGTAACGCAATTAAATTTGTACAAAAGTTCTTAATTATTAAGTAGTAATAACGCAATAAAATCTAGTACTATCACTTACTCTTTTAATGCATTGATATAATAACGTAAGTAACTATTTCCATTGAAAGATGCTCCATCAGACGAACTAAACGATAAGGCTAATAAAGTAGAGGGTTAGTCAATAAGATTATAAACACACTGATCGCGCAATAAATAAAATAAAGTACATGCACTAATATCTTTATTAGGCTTGCTAGTTACTATACCTGAGTTGCAATCAAGTAATCCATAGTATGGGAACAAGCATTGACATGTATAACTAGATCCAGCCGAAACACAAGTACCATCGTTTCTGCATGGTGCACTGTGACATGGATCTGACAGTGATGTATAATTTCTTTCGCAAAGCATTCCAAAATTACTAGATTGACAGTTGCAAACATAATAGTTTCTATCAGCTACCATAGGCGAGCAGCGAGCATTATTTTCGCATGTACTCTGATCACAAGGATTGTCGCAGGCAAACGTATTCGCGGTTTCTAAAGCATCAGTAACCAAATTATAGGTGGAATTGTCTAATTCGAATCTAGAGATACATCCATGAAAACCGAATAGAACATCAAAGATTGGATTTTGATCAAATTGATTGATGATTCCTAGAAATGTCCAATGTGACAAATCAATAATATTGCTCCTTCCCGATTGTCTGCTATCCTTTTGCACAACAGGACCATTATCTATTTGCAAGGTTGCAATCCCATCTCGGAAGACTGCTGAAATATTATACCAAGTATTGCTGACGATATCAGACGAATATGCTAAGCTATCTTGAATGCCAGCAGGACTATCATCTGGTCCGCTAGAGTAGTAGAATGTGATTCGACGATTTACTATGCAAATTGACATATAGTGAATAGTAGTAGGTGTTTTTTCATCAAAACCATTACTGGCGAATATGACCATTTCATTTTGATTGCTAAGAGGTTTAATCCTTGCAGTTATAAAATGATATGCTGAGCTAGTTAGAGCCGTCGGTGTCTTGCTAGCGTATGCATTGTATGAGTTGCTTTGAGTGGCGTTGTTGACATATCTCCGGATATTTGCCGCAACTATTAGTTTATTTTAGATATAGAAATGGCATATTAAGTACATAATTATAGATATAGTGATGAACTCTATATTTAATTTTATTAATAGCTACATTTGAACAGTTAGATTTCTAAGAATAGATATTGTCGTGATACTAATTTAGGCGACTGATAATTACTATATTAGACATTGTTGATTAGTAATGTTAGCCAGTAGCCAAGTATAGTAAATAAATTTACGTGACTTGATGATACTGTGATTGAGAAGTTGCTCAGCACCTTATAGCGTTGAACATTAACAGAAAATCAATGATACTTTCTTCAGATTGATTCGAATAGTAAAATATATTAATGATCTATTTGAGGAAAATCATTTGCTTGATGACTTAAATCTGATTTTAGTTTAACTTTTTGACATCAATACATTTAACGAAATGTATTTAAGAACTACAGAGATAAATTTAGACTAGACTTCACTTCTTTTGAGGCTAGAATACTTTAAATTAGGTTCTTGTTCAATTATTGCTCTACTATTCTTAAACTTTACGGTAAACTCTTTTGCTAATTTTTTTTGGACGAAGACAGCTGCTATTTCATGGAATACTTTTATTGAAGTAGCATGCAATAATTTCAGATTATTATAATCGTAAATTAGTATACAGTATTAGAGGATATTAATTTGGATATTGTACTATATATTCGGTATTATCAGTGCTCATCATATGTAGGGCAATAGTTAGCTTAGGTGTAAATAGTAGTTTATAATTATTTTACCTACAGTAAATGAAATTTAATTAGCTGAACGCTCTCCTATAGTAAGATTTAGAGATAAGCATGGTACATGACTAATTTTATGCATGTCGTAAGACAGTACTGGAAGTAATAACTCAAATTCCCATTCATTTTGTAATAGTCTAACTTAATCACAGATGATAATAATGGCATATGGATTAGTTCTCTTTTCGATATGCTACGACTAACCTGCTATTTTAACATCTAGGATGGTTGTTGATGAACCAATAGTCGATGTTACAGTGCAAACATAAGGCTTAGCTTTTGCTGCATTAACGTTCCTCAGAGTCAATCGATTTCCAAATGCTTCAAAGAAGGAAATTGTTACACCATCGGCTGCTGTCCATCTCCTACCAGTCACTGAAGGTATCCCTGCCCCATTACAAGTGTGCGTTGGAGCAGTATCGCCAGCTTTCAGCACCAATGGATTTACTGAAGGTGATATGCTAGCTCTTGGAAATTCTGAATTTTTCAATAATAATCTAATTAGCTACTGACTTAAATAATCTTCTCCAGTTATGGCTAAAAATGAAGATTTCGATCAATAATGATGTAAATGCATCCATTTTAAAATTGATTACAAACTTCTCCGATTCCTACCGTTTATAGTAATAGATGTACTTG